GACGCCGAGCCGCGACGGCGGGTTGGCGTGTCGCCGGCCGCGCTCGCTCGCCGGAGGGGAGCTCATCATTCAGTGGCGGGTCGGGACTCGGACCGCCCCCCGGCTGTGGGTTCCCAAGCACGGGCTTCGCGTCGTGGTGGAGGTTCTAGCTGTTCATGGCTTGGGTTCTCCCCGCACGCGAGTGGCTGGGCATCCGGCTCCGCTTCGAGTTGACCAAAACTTGGGGCTTCATCTCCCACGGCCGTCTCACTCTGCGCCTCGGCTGCTACCTCCTGCGTGATCTCCCGCTGGTCCTCAACCGCCTTGGCAGGCGGCACGTGGACACACAAGGCCAGCAGAGCCGTGACCAGAAGCCCGAGGCCTCCAAGGGTGAAGAAGGCGATCTCGTACGAGCTCGCTTGAGAGATGCTCTCGCCGAGGAGCAAGGATAACCCATGACCGAGTCGCCAGCATGAGATGATGAAGCCAAAGGTGAACCCAAAGCGGCCAGTGCCTTGCACCAGTCGCTTCACAACGAGTGGCAGAAGGGTGTCGTAGATGCCTGCGCCCAACCCTTCGAAGACTTGGGTGGCAGCGAGGAGATACTGGTTCGGCCTGTACATGGCGAGCAGCGCGACGGTCGTGCACCGCACGGGGAGGATCAGGTGCGCAACGAGCAGAAGCGGTTTGTAGCCTACGCGCTCGCAGTAGCGGCCGACGAGGTAGGCGGTGGGCGCCTGCACAAAGTAGAAGATGCACAGGACGGCGGAGGTGAAGACGAGGCCGGTGCGCTCGTCCTCGTGCGCGATGAGCTGCGTGACGAGCGGCGTGACGCCCGCGTTCGACAGATGGTACATGAAGGTGAGCAGGGCGACGATGCCGCGACTGCGGAAGAGTTCAGAGTAGCGCGAGTAGCGCGTGTGAGAGGCGGCGGCAGCGGCTCTCTGCCTGGGCGCGTCGCTGCCGCCCTCGCCATCGACCGCACCCGTAATTGATGGCGTTGAGTCAACCGTGATCGACTCAACCGTGACGACGGCTTGCCTGGCTCGCTTGTGCTTGATCGTTTCAGCTGGTATGAGCATCACGAAGACGGCGGCCGCCACCCCTCCAGCGCCCAGAAGGTAGAAGATGCCCTCGACGTTGGGGTACGCCACGCCAGCAATCACGCCAGCAAGCACTGTCAACAGCACCGAGCCGAGCTTGTTGGATACATCTCCGTCAGCGCGACCATGCGCGTCACCTCGCGATCAGGGACGACCCCGAGGAGCAGCGACATGAGCGCCGGAAGGAACACGGTGGCCGCGACGCCCTCGAGGGCCTTACAGAGGAGGATCGCCGTCGAGCGCGCTCTCTGGCGCCGTCCGGGCCACGCGCGGCGCCGCGCGTGCCGCGCGCCACTCGCCTCGGCTGGCAGTACAGCGCCAAAGCCGCCTCGCCAACACCGCGCACACCATCAGCAGCTGCTCACCAGGC